CTCTCAGTTCAAGAAGTACCATCCTCAAACTGGATCCGATGCTCGATGGTGGCATCTTGAGAGTTGGTGGTAGGATAAACAAAAGCGCAATGCCATTCCACCAGAAAAACCCGATCATTCTACCTAAAGGTTCACATTTATCTAACCTCATCCTACAACAAATTCATCACCAAGTTGGACATTCAGGAAGGAGCCACATGCTCTCCAAGCTAAGGCAGAAATTCTGGCTCCCTCATGCAAACTCCTTAGCCAGAAAAATCATCAAGAGCTGTGTATTCTGTAGACGCATGCAGGCAAAACCTGGTGAACAGAAGACGTCAGACCTTCCTGAGGACCGTTTATTTCCAGACCTACCTCCTTTCAGTCATGTTGGAATTGACTACTTTGGTCCTATTGAAGTAAAAAGGGGACGAGCTCAGGTGAAACGATGGGGCGTCATATTCACCTGTCTGGTGAGTCGAGCTGTCCACCTAGAGATGGCAAACTTCTTAACAACAGATTCATGCATAAATGCTATACGCAGATTCATCTGCAGAAGAGGATCAGTGATGAGCATCAGAACAGACTGTGGGACAAACTTTGTGGGAGCACAAAAGGAATTACAAGAAGCATTAAAAGAGCTAAATCATCAGAAAATCCAAAAGACCCTTTTAGTAGAGGGAATAAAATGGATTTTTAACCCACCTTTTGGGGCTCACCATGGTGGAGTCTGGGAAAGACTAATACGTCTAATCAAGAAGACCCTCACATCTGTCCTTAAGGAACAAACACTGGATGATGAAACCCTGTCAACAGCACTATGTGAAGTGGAAGCCATCCTAAATGACAGGCCAATAACTTCAGTGTCGAATGATCCTAATGATTTAGAACCACTAACACCAAACCTTTTACTCCAGCTGAAAGGAAAAGCAACCTTACCACCAGGAGTCTTTGAGAAAACAGATCAATATTCAAGAAGAAGATGGAGACAATCACAGTATCTTGCAGATCTTTTCTGGAGACGTTGGACAAGGGAGTATCTTCCACTTATGCAAGAACGAAGCAAGTGGAACAGCAAAAGGAGGAACTTCAGCCCTGGAGATCTGGTTGTTATTGTGGATAACTCAGCACCAAGGAGCGCATGGACAATGGGTCGTGTGATAAGGATTTTTCCAGATGCCAAAGGTTTTGTTAGAAGCGTTTTGGTTAAAACCAAAGCCAAAGTCATCCAGCGACCAATAGATAAGCTCTGTCTTTTAATGGAGGCAGCTGGATGAAATAAGACTTTCTATGGACTGCTTTAAGCATTAGAAATGTTGAGAAGCTCTAGGTAACATTTATGGACAAAAGAATGAAGTTTATGTAATGTTTTTGCTAGATGTTAGGCTCCTGTGAATATTATTTTTGTAATTGTTATTTTGCTAAGGCTAACAATTAGGGGCTGGTTAGATTCATTTATCTTTTGCAAAATTATTAATGTTAAAGAGCTAAGGTTATGTGAATGGTAGAGTTATTGTTTATTTGTTTATGTATTTGTTTTGCTTTGACCCTCCTCCTTGTCAGTCCGCCTCCTGCTGAGATTAAAAAGTAGAAGCAGCTGATGAGGTGGAGCTGATTGTTTGTTTGAAGGAGTGAGGAGTGCAACAGTTTTTTCACACACATCACTTAACTTTATATTTGAATTTTTGTAAGTCAACTCTGAGAATATTTCTGTTATTTTTTATTAGTAAAGAAAACACCCTTATTTTGAAACAAGAAAATTCTCCACGAGTGCTTTTTGTTTTGTGAGTCGAAAAACCTCCTCCTAAGACTACTCTGGCAATTTTTGATTTTTTTGGAAACTTTTTTGATGCAAGAGTAGCCGCAAGAACTTGGTGAACAACTTTTTTCTTTGTTTTTTTAACCTTCAACATTTACTATGGGTTGTTTTGCACTGCACTGCGTCTGTTCATGTGTAGAGTATTTAACAATAAATATAAAGAGTATGGTTTTGTTTGTCAGGAGTTGTCTAGAAAGAGTGTGGTCCTGTCAGTGTATAAAAAGGCTTCATAAATAAACTTTATTCCTCAATGTGGCTATGTAGCTTTTGACGTTCATGTCTATCATTAATAGTGACATGGTTCAACAGTGACTAAAAACATTTTTTTTTTGCCATACAGGTTTAAAATTATTTGTATTCCCGGCAAAGATTTGTAAAAACATGATTTACAATAAATTAAGCTTTTGTGGCAGTTTACATACACTAATATCCTCACGTAAAATGAACCTTTTATACAAGCGTCATGCATGTTTCCAGGACATTTTTTTAAATGAACTTGATCCATGACAAATTAAGGCTAAATGGTTAAAGTGAATGGTTTAAGATATACTTTAAGATATATTTTTGAACAACTCCATGAGATTTGCAACAAAAGATTTCAGTGTGAGACTATTTTACAGCAACAAAATATATTTTTAAGATTTTCCAGGTATATATATATATATATATATATATATATATATATATAAATATATACATATGTATGTAGAATCGGCACAAAAATGTTGGCAGCACATCTCGGTTACACTGTGAAAATAATAATTATTGTCCCTTAAAACCCTGTATCGGTCCATCTATAATGATAAATATAATGAAGGTTGTTATAGTTTTGATGAAATTATTAATTTTTATTAATTGTAAGTAGATAAATAAACTAAGTTATTTAATTCATTATTTGCAGACAGCATTTTTTCTTCCTTTTTTGAAAAAATGTCTACATTAACCCATTTTAATGTTTTGTCTAAAGATAATTATCTCTGGAAAAAAGGAAAAAAACTAGAGATTATGGTCAAACCTAAATCTAAGATGGAGTAAAAAGTTTTCAAAAGATTGTACTGCTTTTTATTTAAATACAAGTTTTTTTTATCCTTCTGTAGTATATCACTCTGTTATTATTATCAATTAAAGTTCTTGATATTAGATCTCATGCAAAACATTATAACCTCATTATTATAAATGGATTATCAGCTATTTAGCTGAGCTACAGAACTGTGTTGTGATTTAACTGTATGTGTAGCAACCAGAGACAGGATAAACATGGGGGTGATGTTGGCTTGTCTGAGATTACTGATTGTGTTTATATCTTTGTTTGGCTCCCATTCGGCTTCGAGAGACCGGTAACCTCAACATGGACTCTCATGCAAAGTAGAGCAAAGTTCATCATGTTGATATGTAGACTGATTAGCTTCTATTTCTTGCTACACCAGCTTTTCCAGAAATCAGATCATAGCTTAGATAAATATGACAGTAAGATTCATAAAGTTCATTTTTGGGTTAAAACGATAAGCAAACAACGCTTTCGCTTCCATTCAGGTACACAATCCTTATAAGTAAACCTAAACTCAAAAAGACAAAAAAAAAAAAAATATATGAAATTCCCATGTTTAGTATTTAATAAGTACAGCATTATATTTTTTCTTGCAATCATAAATCCGAGACTGTTATCAGTTAAATAAATAACCTGTGATTAGTAATAAATGCATGTTAGGAAATATGGAATAAAATGTTAAACTTCTTAATGTGATAATTCATTCAAAATATAAAAACACGATGAGGAACACCTTAAAGGTTGGTTCCCATTCTCCTTTGGAACAACCTTAATTGTACATTTAACAAGATGTCAGAAACCTTTTACTCCATATTTATACGAGAGACAGTATTATGCATTTTCTGGAGCTGCACTTTAGACTCTTGTTATTGGAGACCATGAAAGCATATATAACAAGGCATAGCAGCATTTTCTACCAAGTTTATGTAATGGCATAGAAAGGCTATAACTAGTTTTGTTCAACTGAAGCTACATTTTTTTTTTCCTGTTAAGCTAAAGCTTCAGAGTTATTGTGGCTTTTTTAATAGACTGATGTTGAACACATGCTCTGAGGCTGGTCTTTGGTGTTTTTAATAAATGAGAATGCCCGCTTCACGCTGGCCTTTTTAATTTTGTCCGAACAGATTTGTGGCCATGTGTTAAGGTGTTTTCTTGCTCCCTGATGTTTTCCTGTCTCTGGTTATTTCAGATAAACTCATATATTGTGCTCCATCCTGTAGGGTTATTTAGTGCGCTTTCTTTATTGAGGTGTTGTGCAATCTATGTCTTTCCTCCTCTGGTAGAATAGGCCATTTGACCTACTGTAACCCCTCAATCTCTCAATTTCTGTTCCAGTCTTCTGTTCCTCTCCCACCCAGATGCAATTTAAAAGCTGGTAAATCTGTCTTATATATTGAACTCCCTCACTAAAGGGAGTTTAAGATTCTTTTTTCTGTTTTTTTTTTGTTTGTTCCCCTCACCTTTATATGAACTCATGCAGTTTTCACAAATCAACATTGTTTTGACTGTTTTTGCCATTCACCTTTCTGCAACACTTTTCTTTGTTCTTATCTGCTTATTTTTCACTTATACCCTCCTTACCTCTGCCTCAGTGAAGCCTCACTTAATTTTCTCTTCCTCTTGACACGACTTTTCCCCCTTTGTCTTTTCCTGTTCTTCAGGCTTGAGAATGACTCCCAGAGCATTTGGTGGGTCTGTTTTTTTTAACCCTGCTGGGCGTATTTTGCCCTAACCGTAAGGGGTACCGTAAAAAAAAGTCTTATAAAACGCCTTAGGGAACGGAAACTTAGCTGGTTTTTTAGAACTTCAGAAGGCAGGAAAGAAGAAGACAGAGAAGCTTGTATCGGGGAAAAAAGAAAAAAAAAAAGGTTACTAGGAGTCAATTCCATGGAGCTAAAGCTTTATGCATTTACCTTTCAGCTTTCAGAATAAACACCAAGACATGTGAAGGTCTAAGAGGAATGCCTCAACAACCACACAAACCGAAACACAACTAAAGCACTTTTAACTTTTGTTTCCTTTTTTTTTTATGTTGGTTTCTGTACCTCATAGCCGCAAAGAGAGAAGTTCCTGAAAAAACAAAACCATTATTAAGCTCCATCTTGTCTCATAGAATACCTTCTATCATTATTTAAATGCTGAATCTCTTTCCAGGTCAAGAGCGAAGGACCCAAACTGGTGCCTTTCTTTAAGGCAACCTGTGTTTACTTTGTCCTTTGGCTGCCCACCTCCAGCCCATCCTGGTTCAGCGCTCTCATCAAATGTCTACCCATCTTTTGCCTGTGGGTCTTTCTGCTGGCTCATGGATTCAGCTTCCTCTGTGATCACTCCAGCGCCCGTAAGATTTTGGCTGGTCTCATCTTTTCGGCTCTGGGGGATGCCTTTCTCATCTGGCAGGAGCAGGGCTACTTCGTCCATGGTGAGGAGAAAAATAATAATGTTTTTGCTATAATTCTAAGAAGGTTCATACATTTTGGTCATACAATAAATTCAAGGTTTACAAAACGAGAACAGAAAAACATTTCCTTTTGTTTTTACCATTCATAAATGTGGATAAGCACTCGAAATTAACTCTAGTTTTCCTTCACAAACTGGTACTGAAGTTCCTTATCAGTGGCTTCTAAAAATAAAGTGTTAAAGATTTTTATACACCTGCCATATCATCACAGTCATTGTGCATGATGGTCCAACAGACGTTGGTCCTTACCCAGCCTTGTTTGTCAAAGTTTTAGTTGTTTTAAACATCTTAACTAAAGCAATGACTCTGGATATGGACAGGTTTAGCTCTTTTCATATCTATGTGCCCTGATCTCCACTCATTCAATTCAAATTCAACAATACTTTATTAATCCCAAAAGAAGATTAAATGTTAATTTAAATCATAGCTTTTTAAAAATGAGTTGCAAATGTTAATAGTTTTAGGCAGGACAAATCTTCTGTAGTTGTCTGTCTTGCACCAGATCTAGAGAAGCCTCTGACTGAAGATCATCTCTAGAGGTTGTAGAGGTATTCCTAAAACAGAACCGACCTTCCTTATCCGTTCATTAAGCTTCTTTAAGTCATTTTCTCTGAATATGTTAGCCCAGCAGATAATGACAGAAGAGATCACACTTATAGAAGATATGTAGCATCTTTCAGTTAACGCCGAAAGCTTCCTTAAAAGTATAGTCTGCTCTGTTCCTACTTGTAGAGGGTTTCCCAGTTGCATCTCCAGCTGAGTTTGTTGTCCAGGTGAACGAGACAGGTGCTTCTACTCCTCCACCATCTCCACGTTTTCTCCCATGATGCTTGTAACAATGGATTTATTCCTGTTTCTTCTGGAATCTACAATCATCTTGCTTGTTTTGTTGACATTCAGGATCAGATGATTGTCTTCACACAATGCCACGAAGCAGTTCACCAGCTCTCTGTATTCAGCTTCTTTTCCATCTCTGGCGCACCCAAGGTCTGCAGAGACCTCCGTGTTATTAACATTAGGGATGTCCCAGTCAGATATTAATTTTGAAAATTATTCCGACATCAGCCCAAAAACAAATATCAGAATTTATCAGCCTACATCTAAAATCTAAAGTATATTTAAAGTAGGCATTTGTAACTGAGATAACTGTTGAGTATAAATGGCATGCAAACTGAACCGGACCATGCCAGACAAAACCGAACCGCGCTAAACTGGTACTAGTTCAACAGTAGGGCTCGGCATGGTTCAGTGGAGGCTCTGTTCTCAGATAACAAAGACCGCGTCATCTCCTTACAGTCAGCCTCCGTACTCATTAAATTTCAAACATTTATAAAAATACTAGCTTCCCTACCGTGCCACACGATTTCCAGTGATGACTCTGCTTAGCAGTGTGATGAACCTCAGTGTTTGTTGATGTTTCCTCTGTCTGTAAGCCCTGATTAGAAAATCATTTGTTGTATCCACTTTCCAAAAGCTGACTCTGTGAAGTAAATTCAGAGAGAGAGCAGCAGTACCGTAGATCGTCACTAGGCGGCAAGGAGCCGTGCTTGCATGATGTGTAAAGTCTTCAAGCCGCTGTCACACATTGCTGATTTATCCAGCGTATGTCTGATGTCCCAAAATCTTCTAAAATGCTGGAATACCTGAATTTTATATGTATTTTTTCAATTTTGGGTGTATAAATAGAGTACTCTAGACAAGTCCAGAACGTATGTCCAACGTCAGCCTAACTTGGCATCGTAATGGCATCGTAATGGCATCGTAATGCCAGTGTCCTGGGGAGGCTGTAATGCGCCTGAAGATGCCCGGCCTGCATAAAGAGATTTATTTGATAGCGGTTGTAATCTAGCTCCTGTTTACTGCCCGCCAGAAAAAAATTAAATAAATAAAAAAAAAAGAAAAAAGACAAGAAAGACAGAAGGTTTGCAGTCACAGCAGATTAAGCGTCATGTCTGCTAGGAAGTTTCTTGGTTGTGGCTGTGGGCGTGAATGCATGGAGGATCTATCACACTCACCTTCACACTCACCCTATGATCGCGATGAAGTCTAAAGGGGTACTCCCGGTTTCCTCCTGTGAACCCCCTTTCATACCAGAAATGCTGCCACTACACCATTATACAGTAGCTGTAAGTTAGAAACACATTCAGTGGTCATCTGGGACACGTCAGATACGTTGTTATGCGTTGGAGATAAGTTCTTGATAAGTTATGCATAAGTTATGCACAGGTTACTCATAGGTCTTGGATAAGCTAGACACCACGACTTATGAGTAACTTACACTTAGTGGTAGTGAGAATGTTTGGGGCATCTTTAATTTTGCTTTCTAGGACCCAGTGCTGAGGGAGGAAGGCCAAGGTCAAGAAATTTTGAGCATGCCATACTTGCCCTATGTCAACGTGTGCCAGCATGCTTCAGAATGGTTCAGCGTGCTCATAACTTATATAAAACTGACCCACAACTTATCCTATGTACACCAGCGGTTTTGCCAGGTTTTTTCATACATCTGGCATGTACCTGCTAAAACGTCAACGTGTGACAGGGGCTTAAGGAACCGAGCTCTACAAGGTTACCTAATCCAAGCTCGGTCCAAACTCAGCACGGATCGGTTTCAGATGGTAGTGTAAATGGGGCATATTGCTCTCTGAGTATTATCACTCAATCAAGCCTTTTGTGACTCTACAAAATGAGTATTAAAAGTGTTCATTTTATTATTTTAAAGAAGACCTCCAATTTAGAGAACCTCTGGAAAAAGGCCTCTTGGGGTCATCAAGTTCCGACAATAACTAACTAGTTGTGTGAGGTGTGGGCCAGAAGATTTTTCTCTCGTGGCATCACAGACATAAATATTTGGACTCTGCTGAACTTTACTAAGACCTTAACTGGAAATGTGTTTTGGTCAGATGAGATTTGCTTTACTACAGCAACCCCTCTAGCTTGGTCTGATGTGAAGCACAGGTAAAATACATGCAGTCATGTCACATGCTGGCTTCTATGTACGGTGGAGCTTCAAGGATGCTGTGGGCCTGTTTCTTCTCAAAGGGCTCCAGTTTAGATTGTATCAAATAATTTAAATAACAGAAATCTCTGAATGAAACACTTGAAATAAAACACAGTCACTGATACCGGGTTACCATTGAGTCCTTTAGTTGGTGGATAGTTCAGCACAAAGGCAGAAACAACAAGCAACCATCACAGAGTCCGATCTAAGTTAAATAGGAAACCTGTTAAGTGAGCTGAAGAGAATAGACAACATCAAACAAGCTAGACACTGACTTGTTTAAAAGGGTAAATATACAGATTTAACTGCTTCACTTATTTTATTGTTCAAAGAAGCGGTGCCTGGTGTGCGACAGGGGAATTGTTAAAATAACTATTTTCTAAAGCGGTGCTTTTACATGCTAAGCATGAGGTGATGCTGGAGTAATTTTACTTCTTTTCTACATATGCCAATAAACAAGGAGGTTTCTCTATAAGTGGCAGACGAATTTGTTCGAAATTGGGCATTTGTTTAATTAGTTTGGCTTTTCTCTTCATTTAGTTGCTATTTTAAAGTGTTGCTTTTAGAGCTAATATTAAATATTGCATTGTTTCGTCTAAATCAGAGGTCACAGATTAGCGGAACAGGGTTCGGATCCGGACCCACCTGCTGGCTAATCCGGACCCAACCTGATTTAAAACATTTTTAAATTACCGCATGTTGTCCGATGACAGTGTCTAAACTTCACTTGCGCATCTTCTCCTGTTTGTACGGTAAAGCCATCCGGAGCGTCCGGCACCAGACTGCATGTTAGCAGTGTTGGGAAAGTTCTCTTTCTACGTGAACTAGTTCAAAGTTCAGTTCACACATTTTAAAATGAACTAGTTCAGTTCATAGTTCACAATTCCAAAAAACGAACTAGTTCATAGTTCTTTTTTTTTTTTTTTTCATATATTGCTCAATTACACCATAGCCTACTGTAGAACCACAGACAGCAATTATTTTATCAGTTGTAACACTGAAACTGTGCGTCAGATTTCATCTTCATATCCAGTTTTGAATCCTTATCCAACCAGGGTTTCCATTAGCATTGAGGGGACAGCATTTCCCCATTGTTGCTTTAATGCTTTGTTGCTGTCCATTCACTTCACACTAGTAGCAGCTGCAGCTTTCACCCCTACAGTATATTCTCAAAAACATCAGGAAAAATGTGCTGCTTGAATGGTCTTTTTTATGAGTAATTATTAAAAGAAAAATAGGAAAGTAGTCTTTAAGGTGCAAATGTTTTTTTTTTATTTTAATAATTTTTTCCATTTGAAATTCCATTTCAATACATACTAAAAAGGAATACTGGAATCCTGGAAAATTATACCAGGCAGGTTTAACAAACAAGTTACATGGATAGTAAAACCATCAAGAACAGGGGTCTTCTATGTTTTCCAGACCAAGGACCCCCAAACTGATGGCGAGATGGAGCGAGACCCCCTAACTATATATATTGTATGAAATTGTGTCCTATAGTCACTCTATTACAGATGGAGTAATGTAAAGAAATTAATTTCTCTCTGGGATTATTAAAGTTTTTCTGATTCTGATTCCTGGTTGATGGGACAGGTGTTGTGAAGGAAACGGTGCCCAGCTTGAAAGAGCTCCTGTGTGTCGCTGAATGTGTGCATTGATGACTGAAAGACATCTTCTGCCTCCATTTATCTGTTTACTACAGTGTGTTGATTTCATGTTAATGAGTATTTAAAGACATTTCAATTAGTGGGGAAATGCAGACCCTCATGCAGTACCTCCGTAGACCCCCTAGGGGTCGCGGATCCCCTGTTGAAGACCTCCGCTCAAGAAGATTTTACTAACACAAACTGAGGGACCAGGCTGAGGTAGGAATTTAAGGTTACTGAAGTGTGGATTTTTTTACTGAAAGCCGGCGGGCAAACTTGTTGCCATCATCCTCACCGACCACCTGGTCATAAACCTGTTTTAAGTCGCCTCCATGCTGCTGTGGCTTCCACGCTGCATTTTGTTTTGATGACGCACGCGGCTGTAGGCTACGACACTGGTAGCTCCCGTTGCCAGATTGGGTGTTTTTCCCGCTACATATTAAGGCTTGTTTACGGTGTGATTTAGCTGGGGTTTCGCCTGGAGGGCTTTATAGAAATCTGGCAACCTATTGAACGGAGATGAACTGAGAGAGCGTGCCGTTCACAGACACCAGAATGAACGAGTTCACAATAACGTTCACCAGGCAGTAATGCAATACGTTCAGTTCACGTTCGCCCAAAATATGAACGAGTTCATGAACTTTCGTTCAATGAACGCGTTCAGGCACAACACTGCAAATTAGCCAATGAGCTGTGTCAGTCAGGGCTGCTGCTTCTAGCTACTTTTAGACACAGCAGGCAAACTTGTGGGAAGCCGGGCGATGGGAAAGAACGAGAAGACGATGAGAAAAAGAGAGTAGAGAAAGTGTAGACTGCTGGAAGAACCGCGGTGAACTGGTGAAAGAAACGTGAAATGGTGTGCTTAAAGATGACCCTGCACATTTTGATTATGTTTGGCTCAACCTGCTGCTGTGAAGCAGGATTCTTTACTATGAACATAATCAAAAATAAATTTCGATAAGGCTGAAAATGAGCAGCTTGATATGTGTTTCACAATGGCTTTGTCGCCATTCAAACCCAGGTTTAAAGCCTTGCAGGGCAGCATAAAGCCCACTGCTCTCATTAAGCCATAAAAAAGCAACATAGAAAAAAAACGGTCAGTTCAGGTGTTTTATAAGCTAGTAAGGAAATTGTCTATATACTAAATTGAAAGACTGTTCTTCTCTACTTCAAAAACTATTTAGATTTAAAAATGGAAAAACGTTAAATGTTGTTTAAAGTAACAGATTATAAGTAAAAATGTCTCCGGACCTTTACTGGTTAATGATTTTCTTAATTGGGACCCCACTGATTTGTTATTGTTTAACCCTGGTCTAAATGTTTGCCCCCTTGAAATGAACACTTCTGCTAATCCCAGGTGTAAAATAAAAGCAGGGACTAACTTAGCTGCTATTGATTTAAAACTGAAGATAAAACTATTCCTGAGAAAACATCTCCACAAAGCATCACAACGGTAAAATTATGAAACCCATGCCATTGCTTGAGTAACAGATGCCATCCAGATGTGATTTTAGTTTTTCAGCAAAAAATGTCAATGAAAACAAAAACAAAACAGGGTGATTATTTCAACTGCAGAATTTAATGAAATGTTTTCAAAAAGCACAAAAATAAAACCATCAGTTCTGATCAATGTATTTAACCTGATTAAACATTCATTTTCTGAAGTGCACGGTCATACTGCAGTGCTTTATGCCGATGGTTTCATGTCTTGCAGGTCTTCTTATGTTCGCCATCACCCACATTCTGTATTCGTCTGCCTTTGGGATGAAGCCGATCAATGTGCAGGCTGGCCTGGTGATCACCGCTGTGTCCTCCCTGTGTTACCTCCTGCTGTACCCATACCTGTCCGGCCCCTTCACCTACCTGGTGGCCGTCTACATCGCTCTGATCGGCTTCATGGGCTGGAGAGCCATAGCAGGCTTGCAGCTGGCCAACGACCTCTGGACCTGGACCAAGCTGTCGGCCTGCCTGGGCGCCGTCCTCTTCATGGTCTCTGACCTCACCATTGCCGTCAACAAGTTCTGCTTCCCTGTGCCCCATTCCCGAGCCATCATCATGGCCACCTACTACGCCGCACAGATGCTCATAGCCCTGTCGGTGGTCGAGTGTCAGGATGTGGAGGTGTCCCGGAAGAGAACATGAAGTGTTGTGGTTTCTGGAAAGTACAAGGCTGTAGAGGTGGTTCCAACTCCAGCCTTGAGTGGCTGTGGACATCCCTCACTGCTAAATCCCAAACCCCCATCCTTCATCTCCATATGGCTCTCCCACATGACTGTCATCATGCCGACTGATCCTCTCCACAACACTCCCTCCTCAATCTCACTAGTATGGTAGTCTCATATGTATCTCCTTTTAGAGAAGATACAGTTGTATTATTTTCAGCTTCTCCTGAGTGCAATCGAACTTAGAAAAAAAAACTTGGTATCAAACCAAGTTACAGAGGAGAGTTGTAGAGTTACTAACCTATAGGAAGCATTAATATAGTCGTGATTGGTTTGATTTCAGATGAGCACCTTCAAGCAGTTTGCATGAGACTTGTTTTCTGTGAGCGTGTCTGTACAGTTTGGCGACTGATTGAAACTCTTACCTCACTTTCCACACAGTGCTCCGACGCACAGACACACCGTCACACATTTGTACTCTGAGTGGTCCATTAACACAGTTTAGCAGTTCATTTGTGTATTTTAATTTTTGCTTTATTGCATGCATAATTCTTTCAAAAGGGATATTTTTATACAAACCATCCATGCCGCACTTCATTAAGGGTGCTAATTAGCGCTAAGACGATGTTCCTACCTTTTTATTTAATTATTTGCAGTCCATTTCATTTCATTTGCAGAAGCTTCTCTTCTTTTCTTCTTTAGACTCCTGAGTTTGCTTTAATGAATGGAATATTTATTTAACTTTTGAAGATTTCTTTGAATAACTAGATGAATATAGAGGACTTGAAAGCAGCTAAACGGCTGCAAGACTAAGAAAAAAATAGCATTTTAGACATTGGACGCCTCCTTAAGGAGCAGGGGAAGTTTTGGAAACCTAATCGTTCAGATTTTAGTTCTAACTGACTTTTGTTTTGATCCTCTTGGTGTAACGTGTTGTTCTCTATACCTTCGTCACCTTTTGGTGTTATACATTCAATAGCACCATACCCTGCACCTAACACCTCCTCCTAGTTTAGTTATTAGGAAAGTTCATAGGGGGTCTTATTGTTTGAGTCAATCAGCTGACGTGCTGTTAAAGACCGTGTTATGAAAACAGCAGAAGAAAGGGCTTTGTTGATGGCTGGACTCATTTTGTTGATATACTCTGCAGGCAGAGTCTCCAACTCTGAAGGCATTCACTCACTCGGAACAACGCGCACACAGATTTATGCAATGCAACAAACAGAGCCAGCCAGCTTGGGAAAAACAAGGAGACAAGAGAAAGCGTCTTGTGATGCAAGGGAACAGCCATGCCATTATTCCCCATTATTCCTTCTCAAAGGACATTTGGGAAAAATCCACTGCAGGTTATCCTCGACTAGTCCGGTCTATTTTTTTTTTTTTTTTTTTTTGTGTGTGTGTGTCCTTGGATCCTGCTGCTGTTTCTTTCCATTCATGTTACTTTGAAGTGTCTTACTGAACTAGGTACATTTTTGTATGCTTTTTGTTTTTAGTGTGCTTGTTTTTATGTTAACTGTTGAGTGGAGGTCAGACCCTGCTCCAGGCCAGATACGCTGCACCCCAAAGTTAATATTACACGGACACATGTTCATGTGTTCATATAGAAGCTTTTAAAACCTCCTTTATACTAACTCCTCTTTAGAACTGCAACTCTATTATATAAGTCGTAGCAAATGTCAGTTTATTTTAGCTTTGGTTGAGCAGATCCAAACTGACTCTTGACTTTCCTATTACTTGGCACTCTTTTCTTTACCTTCCTGCAGCTTGAAAAAATATTCATCAGTATCCTTTGACCTTTTTCACATTTTGCAGTGAGAGACTAACACAAAGTCGATCATATGTATGTCTTCTGGGGTTTTCCTCTTTGAGTTTTGCACATCAGAAGCTGGAAATGTATCTCCATTTGTCCTTTAAAATAGCTGAAGCTCAGTTACATTAGTTGAAGACCATCTGTCTAAATCCATTGTCTGCAACAGATTTGGTTTACTGCAGAAAAGTTAGTGGACCATTGTAAGCTTTAAATAAGCTCTGGTTTGAAGCATTCCATCAAAGCTCTGGCTGAAAGATTAAGGCCTTTGCTCTTAGAATATGTTACCCTCTGACCAAGTCACAGGTCTTTTTCGACTTCTGCGAGATTTTCCTCCAAATTATTCCTTTATTTAGCTCCAACCATCTCCCCATCAATTTTGACCGACTGCCTTCTCCCTCTGGAAATAAGAAAAACATCCCACAGCATGATACTTGCAGCCCTTTGTAGATGATGTCATTTCAATGTTAACTTCAGCTCTAGTTTTCGACCTCGCATCACATTTTGCACATGTTTCATTCAGCTATGGATTTATCTTACCAGAACACCTTTTTCCAAGTATTTGCTGTGTCCTACAGATTGCTTTTGGCACATTACCGGGATTTTTATAATTTATTATTGATATTCTATTTAACCCGGCTAGATGTCTTTATTTAATTTCCAAGTGAGATTAACAAAGCACTTTTTGAATTAGGTTAAATTTTAATGAGTTAGTTGAGAGCTCAATCGATTGTTTTCCTGTCAGGGGGTTGTAGATCTTTGCAGCTCCTCCAGAGCTATCATGGCTGCTTTCTTTAATTAAATGTCCTTTCTGCTGGCCTGTCAGTGTAGCTGAACAGCCATATCTTAAAACCACTCCTGTTCTATAATTTACTTTTATTTTCAGTGAAAGGTTCAAATCTTGAGATAATGCCATTTTCTTCCTAACCCTTCTTTAAACATTTCCATGTACTTTGCGCTGATCTCTCATAAAATCCCAGTTAATAATTCTAGGTTTTATGGTTTTAACATAAAAAAAAAAAAAGTTAAAAGGGTATGAATAGGCCTGTCAGTCAGCACATATATCTTAGTGGAACTGATAATCCCACTTATTTTCAATCTGGACATTTTTATGCCCAATCAGAGTATCATTTTTATGAGGGATCATGTTATCTTTAGAAAACAGCGGATAAGGATGGCTGAGATGGAAAAACCCATATAAAGGTTGTTTATGCTTTGAACAGACATGGAAAGTTGCTTTTCCTTATTCTGGGTCACTGACCCACACAGCTACCACTATCCCTAAAAACACACACACATTACATCAAAATATATTTGCATCACATGAGCCAACCGCAGCGAGATCTGCAGGCAGGTCATGCTTTTCCATTTGACCGAGAAAAACATCAACTCCCAGCAGGCATTTCACATCACTTTATCAGAGTTCCTCAATTGCCTCGTCGCGTCAGTACTTAAGTCAGCACTATCTTTCTCTTTTGACATGTGAGCACCAGTTCTCTGTTTTGTGTTTTCGGTTAACCCTCCCAGCACTACAAAGGTTTTTTTTAGAATATTTTCCACTGCAGGGAATTTTGTTTTTTCTGCTTAAAAGCCCTCAAACCTACTGTCTCCTAATGAGACAGAGTAAGTAAAGTGAAGAAAATGGAAAACACAGATGATTCCAGTATATAGCTTTGAGTCAAACCAAGAGGGGGATGGCAACATTCAGTCAGGCAGTCTTATTTATCCACAGTGTGTGGGCAATTTACGTAAGCACTGCTCCTTTGCACGGAGCCAGAAAAAGCCTTCTGACTTTTGGAGGCAGGATTTACTAAAGTATTTTTGAAATATCCTTTAAAAAGAAGAAAAGTATTTGAGGAGAGGTTTGGACACATTTGTTTAAGCTGTATTAAAAGTATTTTACTTTTTTCCTATTTTGATTTGAACTCCTTGGACCTTCTTACGTTTGTCATAAATACCACAAACGTCAATCTGTTTTAAGGGGGTTTCACTGCTAAACAACTTCTATGTAGTGGATAGTTAAAAATGTAAAGAAAAAATAGGCTGGATTTTCCTCTATCCTTACAATAAAAAGATGGCCAGTCATTATTATGTAAAATCCCCTTTCCCTTTGAGAACCGCAGCAGGTTTTGCGGGTATGCCTTGAGAGAAGCTGTAATTGGCTATCATTTATTTCCATCCATATCCTCATCAATCCAGATTCCTCACTGACCTGCTGATAAAAAGCATCCCCATGGCCTAACTTTGCCATCAACATGTTTCACGCCGGTTCAGGCTTTTGCTTGTCGATCAAAAAGGTTATGTTCTCTCTTATTTTGCCAGAGCTAGTGGAAAACTGTGGCTTTCTTTCAACATTTCAATAATTTGGCAAGTGTTCCATAATAGCTGGATTGATGTGCTTCACAACTAGCTGTCTTTGCAACAGGCTCCTCCGCCTGAGCTCCAACCCCTTGGTTGTTTGTCTGAAAATGCTACTCTTGCTCAACGCTGCCATGCTTTGCAAGTTTGAAGTTTTATACACTAATATTACCCACACTCTGGTATAGACCTATCCACACCTTTTTTCTTGACTTGTCCAGTGTGCTCCATGATACTCATGATTATGTTTGTTCTCTAATGATTTCTAAAAATCTTCAAGGCCTTTAGATTAAGATATACTGTTTAGGATTACAGTGTAATAGCACATAGAGTGGCTCTATTTACTAATAAGATTATCTCCAAGGGAGTTCATTAGAAAGGATTCTTTTTTGAGGTAAAAGCGGCTGAATGCATATGCTTGCCACACTTTTCAGAAACAATCATTTTCTTTCCTCTGCAGACTTCTGACTTACTTTGTATCGGTCTATAACTTTTGATCTCAATTAAGTAAACTGGTTTCTTATTGTAATCTAGCAAACCTTGAGATTGTTTAAATTGGTAATACAACTTTTGTAATATTATAAAATCATATATTACATTATATAGTAATAGGAAGCTATTTAAAGGACTGGATGTGACGTATCAAACACCCCTTTGTCTCTGGCTTAGTGTTTCGCAGCCAGCCGTGCCTTTCCCCAGAGATGTTATTGTCAAGCGATATTCCACCTAAAATAAGGGGAGGCGCTGAAATATGACACACAGCAGGAAGAGTCGACCCACCCCAACCCCCAATCTATCAGGTTAGCTCCCATCCTGTTTCCCCACAGGTGGCAGACCAGCAGGCGCATCACTTTACCTGCTCTGTCAACAACCCCGTTGTTCTTAGCTTTGCATGCGCAGACAAAAGGAGACCTGGGAGAGCAGCGACGCTTCGTTCTTCACGGCTTGAATTAAGCTGGAACCAGTTGCTGGTATATTATAAAAACCAGCTGGCACTTTCCTTTGAGTTTTTATCCCTCTTTTGTATTCTATATTTGAATATTTCTTTTTTTTGATCTGTAATTTGAAACATTTGCTGTCAATGCGCTGTTCTTATGATTATCAGCAGGTGACATTCAACGCACAAAGCTGTAAAGTTAATATCTTTAAAGAGGTATGACGGATCGATTTAAACACCCACAGGTTTTATGATGGTAGTTCTCCAGCACCAGGAACATTTATGAGAAGTATGTAAATTACCGCCTTCTCTTTGTATTTAACCTGCAGTGTGCTGCACTTTTCCATACCCAAAGTAAGGCCAGTCAGTCTTCGAAGCTCACCCACCGTAAAACAAGACCTGTTGTGTACTGTACCTCATCAGTTTGAAGTATATGCTATGTTGTACTTTAAAAAAAAAAAAAAAAAGAGAAATTATTTTCATAAACAGTGATTCCTTTCCTTTGAAGTGTTATCAGCCTTGATGTATACGTCTTTCTTTGAGGTATTATCCTTGAGAATCCAAAAGACTAATTTCAGCATTTTATTCCTCAAAAAGACATTTAGTCATTAAAGCACATAAACATGCATCAGTTGTTACAGTTTATCATGTCCTTGATTTTCAGTTTGTGATTGATTTTTCCCTCGACTGTGGAGGTGATATAATTTCTTTGCTGTAGTGAAACTGCAATGAATGTGAATATCTATTGGAAAAAATAAATGCAATTGCAATGCAACTTTAGCATAATGTTTTGGCTTTGTTCTTTCCTGGAAAACAAAGGTGCTGCATTGAATATGTCAGCTGATATATATATAACTCTGCAATGTTTTGTGTTTCATTTGAAGCTGCTGGTCCTCAGCTGCTAAAGTGCCATGATGGCAGAAAGGGCTGGAGGACAACAAAGAGCTCTGTTCTGGTAACGGCTGCTCTCTATTGTCTCAGTGAGGTGGAAAATTTGCTTTCAGCACCCTTTAACCCCGAAAACTGGGGACTGTGTGTCCTCATTTTCTATATACAGTGATGTGAAAAACACTGTTTGGCTTCTTCCAAATGTGCTCTATTTTGCTCTCATACTTAAATGTTTCACATCTTTAAACATGTTTAGAATTTTTAAGGTGAGTTATTTAAAAAATATATATAGTTTTTAGTTATTCATTACAACAAGACCTCTTGTAAAAGAAAAGAAAAATCCTGCCCATATGTTTAATTATGTAATTTATTAGAAGTTATTGAACTCATTGACTTCAGGTTGATTTAATCTGTCAATTCCAGGCTTGATGACGAGGCCTGTCCTACCCAATGTCAGTAAATGTGTCTGACTGCAGCAAGCGGGCTAACAGATCTGAAAAAGCAACACCTTTTATTCCCCTAGTAAATAAGAAATGCAACAAAATAATTTATATTACTAAGTAACAACCATTATTTTCTGAAACAAATTAAACAAAATGAGAAACACTTCAATTAGAGCACTGCAAAAGAACCAGGAGCAGCATTTCAGGGGTCATTTGTCTCAGTTAAAGGAGAAGTTCGGTTTTTAACACTTTTAGCCCATTTTCTGTAGTGTCCAGGATGAAATCGAATGATCGACACCAAAATTTTGACAATTGGTCCTGTCTCTGCTTTTTGGCTCATGCAGAATCACCCCCTGGCTGCTTCAGAATGGCTTTCATAGTGCATGTCCGATAATGTCCTTAAAACAACCTTAAACGTTCTTTTTTTAAAATATGCTACTCACCGGGTCGTCAGCGCTGTTCAATGACGTTCCAAAAAAAGTTTCGTAAAGAAAAAACATTCCTGTAGTGTTTTATTTAGCATTTTGTAAATCCCATTGAGTTCTGTTGGAATAGTCAATATTCCCCTGCCACCGGAAACGGAAATGGGGCCTGTTTACACAGTTGTAGTCTTTTCGCTTCACTCTGTGTACTCCGACGTCGAGGTGCTAACGTCTCTGTTAAACACTTTAAAAAACTCTGAAAATGGAATACGAAAGGTGGATTCTTGATTCTCGACGTCGGAGTACGCAGAGTGAAGCGAAAAGACTACAACTGTGTAAACAGGCCCCATTTCCGTTTCCGGTGGCAGGGGAATATTGACTATTCCAACAGAACTCAATGGGATTTACAAAATGCTAAATAAAACACTACAGGAACATTTTTTCTTTACGTAACTTTTTTTGGAACGTCATTGAACAGCGCTGACGACCCGGTGAGTAGCATATTTAAAAAAAAGAACGTTTAAGGTTGTTTTAAGGACATTATCGGACATGCACTATGCAAGCCATTCTGAAGCAGCCAGGGGGTGATTCTGCATGAGCCAAAAAGCAGAGACAGGACCAATTGTCAAAATTTTGGTGTCGATCATTCGATTTCATCCTGGACACTACAGAAAATGGGCTAAAAGTGTTAAAAACCGGAATTCTCCTTTAAGGTAAGTATTCATGATAAGGCATGAGATTAGGCACTGTCTTCTATAGAAAATTTTAAGGACTAAATCAAATGAATGCCTGCCCGTCATTTGCCATAAAATCAACTTAATGATCCCCCAAACTTTGGGAATATGTGTAATAGGCTGGTGTGACCAATTGTAAGATTATGGAATGAGTTAGTGGTAGTGAGATGGTTTGGGGCATCTTTAATTCTGCTTTCTAGGACCCAATGCTCAGGGAGAAAGGCCAGTCATCAAGTGTCTGACCTAATGTGGCTTATGCAGCAAGACATGATTTAAAGCACACCACCAAGGCCACCTCTGAATGGCTCATAAAAGGTAAATTGGAAGTTTGGAAATGGCCCGGTCAGTGAGTGGACTTTAATTTGACTGAGAGGCTGCGCCACTAAGATAGGCAGGCTGCTCATTCTCTAACCCTCTAATATGGCTAAAATTAAACAGAGGAGTGAGCAAAACACTCCCACTGTAGTTATGTGAAAGTGTCATTGGTAATTACTGCAAAAGCTTGATTGCAGTCGTTGCCTAGTATGGCACAACCGTTCATTAGGGTTGGTGGAAACAGCTTTTCACATAAGACCAGGTTTGTATGGCTAACTTTCTTTCAACAATGGATAAATATAATTTGAATTTTTTTTTTATTTACTTGGGTTTTCTTTGTTTAAAAAAATTTGATGGAAGAATGGTTCACTCTCAGGAGCTCAATGAATTTCAATGTGGAACTCTGATTGGATTAGAGTCCTGCACGGGTCGAGTTTTACCAACCCGCACCCGCCCGAACCCGTTAGGATGACTACCGAACCCGACCCGTCACACGCGGATATCTTCAATTCATATCCGAACCCGACTCGACCCGTTGATATTTAACCCGCAACTCGACCCGTTAACACATCAAGTAATAGGCTATAGTACACTGCGCTGCAGATTAGCACCATTAACACTGCAGCAGACGTGTATGCACTGACTGTGGCCTTTTTGGAGGGAAGCCCACACTGCCGGCAGGGCTTTAAGCTACAACAAGGGTGACCCCAGTGCCTGATTAATATAACATTTCTGATGTCCATAACAACACACACGCATAAAAAAAAAATCACCAACTACCCGCCCGCACTAAAAAAATATCCGCCCGACCCCGCGTACCCGTTTATTTTTATTTATGTATTTAAAAGAGCATTTTAGTGGGTGACCCGTCGGGGACCCGCGGGTACCCGACCCGTTGCAGGACTCTAGATCGGATGCAACAAATCCAGTCCTGTTGCTCCTAAAGATTCTGCAGTCAACTGTCAGCTACATCGTAAGAAAATGGAAGGGTTTGAGAACGACAGCGACTCAGCCACGTAATCTGATGAACTGGGGTCTTCAGGCTTCAGATTAGCTCAAGAAGAGTAAGCAGAGATCTTCATTGAATGGGTTTCCATGATCGAGCAACTGCATCGCAGCCATACATCACCAATTGCAATCCAAACTGAACTCAAAAACAGTGGAGAAACATTCTCCGGTGGGACATAGGACCTAGGTTTTGTGGACGTACTTGTGTGACTATATTGTGCCAAGTGTTAAGTTTGTTGTAGGTGGAATTATGGTGTTGGCTTGTTTTTCAGGCTGGACTTGGCCCATTCTTTCCAGTTTAAAGAACACTGAATGCTTAGGTTTACCAAGACATTTTGAACAATTCCATGCTCCCAACTTTGTGGGAACAGTTTGAAGATGGCTCCGTCCTCTTCCAACATGCTGTGCAAAAGTGCTCAAGGTGTGGATGAACTTGACTGGTCTACATAAAGTCCTGACGTCAATCCAATAAAACATATTTGGGATGGATTAGAATGGAGACTGAAAAACAGGCCTTTTCGACAACATCAGAATGTGACCTGTAAAATGTGCTTCTGGGACAATGGTCAAAAATTCCCATAAACACACCTAAACCTTGTGGATGGCCTTATTCCAAGAGTTGAAGCTGTTCTATCCTCAAAGGGTGGACTGACGTTATATTGAACCCCTATGGATTAGGAATGTGATGTGTGAGTTAAGGCAGAGCGAATACTTTTGGTAATTTAGTGTATCATCCAAGAAGTATTTTAATGGGATTCCTTTAGTGGTCTCTTTAACCACTGCTATTTGCATAACATCAGTTTCATAACATCAGTTTCACAAATATTTACTCCTTAAATAGATCAAAAAGTGTGGACTTTAAACGACACAATCTAATACAGTCTTTGATTTTCCCCACTCATAGGCAGCAGTTCCTAAGTTCTGTATTCAAGGTTTCACTTCAGACTACTTCTACTTTATTCTTCGCCACTGAAGAGCCGGAAGGTAGCAGTGACATCTATGGTGCTTAATTGATTTGAACTGGCAACCTAACTGCCAGTCTCTGGTGAGAGCTTAGAAATGGTGCACTGGGAACCAGGAGCAGTAAGGTCAGAACGGAGAGGGAATCTAACCTTCCTTTGTCGGACTGAAGGCTGAATACCACACCACATTGCCTCTCACTGAGCGGTGGGCCTCTTTTCTAAGCAAGGGCCTTTAAAAGACGCCATACAAAATGTTTAGCTGGACAGAATTCATTTCTGTTTTATTTCTATTTAGAACACAGAAGAGCTTATAGCCCTAACTTTGAAGGTTTACTTGCAAAAGTATTACATTTAGCTCAGCTTTTGCACCACATGTTGACCTCAGACAAGTTTCAACAATAAAGAGGAGAGACTTTTCCCTTTAGTTTTTAATGGGGGTGTGAACATGGCTTGCCAATACTTAGGGATGGTTAGTAACATCTAATTATGAAAATACAGAAAAAAGAACTGAAAATCTAATCTAACAAACCCAATCCAAAAAAACAACAACTTTCAAATAATCTGTAGCTGAAGAAAGAAATAGAACACTGACATCTAGTGTCCATTTGATTAATTACTAAATACTAATTAAAGGCATAATATTACCGGTAATAATACCTAACTCGGTCCTAATCAGGCTCTAATATTATGAATAGAGACTATGGGTAACATGAACAGTTTTGAAAAGTTTGAAACATTTCATGATTAGAATTAGTCAATTTGTTAACTGTAATAAGACACAAATCATCAATATTTTCAAATTTTAGTGTTGAAAAATTAAGTTTATCATGCAATTGAGTTAAAAGATTATGGCTTCAAACATTTATGTTCTGCAGTACTTTAAAAAAAAGCAACCACAGCCACTTTGAACCATTAAAAATATTGTTCTAAACAGAACTGCTGCTGTTTGTGTGTGGGTTATGTTCCCTTGAGACACATGAGTCACGTTTTACTAATCAAATATTTATG